TGGCCAGACTGGTTCGAGCTGATAGAAGGGCAACAGTGACTGAAATAACCACTCGTTACAACCGAGGTATGCAGCAAAGCATTTGTGAAGCCACAACACGCACAACCTTGAGGCGGATGGGCTACAACAGCAGAAGACTCCACCGGGTACCACTCATCTCCACTACAAATAGGAAAAAGAGGCTACAATTTGCAAGAGCTCACCAAAATTGAACAGTTGAAGACTGGAAAAATGTTGCCTGGTCTGATGAGTCTCGATTTCTGTTGAGACATTCAGATGTTAGAGTCAGAATTTGGCGTAAACAGAATGAGAACATGGAACCATCATGCCTTGTTACCACTGTGCAGGCTGGTGGTGGTGGTGTAATGGTGTGGGGGATGTTTTCCTGGCACACTTTAGGCCCCTTAGTGCCAATTGGGCATCGTTTAAATGCCACGGCCTACCTGAGCATTGTTTCTGACCATGTCCATCCCTTTATGGCCACCATGTACCCATCCTCTGATGGCTACTTCCACCATGTCACAAAGCTCTAATCATTTCAAATTGGTTTCTTGAACATGACAATGAGTTCACTGTACTAAAATGGCCTCCACAGTCACAAGATCTCAACCCAATAGAGCATCTTTGGGATGTGGTGGAACGGGAGATTCGCATCATGGATGTGCAGCCGACAAATCTGTGGCAACTGTGTGATGCCATCATGTCAATATGGACCAAACTCCCTGAGGAATGCTTCCAGCACCTTGTTGAATCTATGCCACGAAGAATTGAGGCAGTTCTGAAGGCAAAAGGGGGTCCAACCCGTTACTAGCATGGGGTACCTAATAAAGTGGCCGGTGAGTGTATATTCCAATTGAAATCTGGCTTAAAATTTTCCAATTTGTACTAGAACCAATAATTCTATATGGTAGTAAAATTTGGGGGCCAAAACTTAATAATGAATTTGACAAATGGGACAAAACAATCATAGAATCTTTCCATACCGAGTTCTGTAAGAGCATCCTACAGGTGCAGAGAAAAACACCGAATAACCTGTGCAGAGCAGAGCTCGGCCAATACCCCCTCTTACTAAAGATACAGAAAAGATCAATTAAATTTTACAATCACTTAAAATCAGTTAACCCCCAGACATATCATCACAAAGCCCTAACATACCAGGAGCTGAAAGCAGAACAGAGTCCCCTCAGCCAGCTGGTGCTGAGGCTCTCTGCAGTAACAAGTCCCCAAAAGCCTCAGGACAGCAACGCCAACTCAAGCAGACCAAACCAAATTATCAACAAGCAGAAAGAAAAATATATTGAATACTGGAAAGAAACGACCAAAACACAAAGTAAATTACAATTTTATCTGACCCTAAAAAGAGAATTCACACTGGCAAATTACCAGAGTACAATAAAATGTCCTAAACTAAGAAAAATGTTGACAACATACAGACTGAGTGAACACAGCCTGGCCATAGAGACGGGTCGCCACAGACAGAGCTGGCTCCCACAACAGGAGAGACTCTGTGTGACCAGGGACAGGTCGAGACAGAGCTGCACTTTCTAACCTCATGTCCCAAATATAATACACTAAGACAAAAACACTTCCCAAACATTTCCCAAATATACCCTGAATTCGAATCCATATCAGACACACAGAAAATCCCATATTTACTAGGAGAAATGCCCAAATGTGAAATAATTGCTGCAAAATATGTCTCCTCATGCCATAAAATGAGGACAACCAGTGGAACCTCAGATGGATAAATAATTGTACAAATTTTCAAATAATTATTATTTTGATTGTTTGATATTTTAGTAATTGTTTTATTTTATTTTTTATTGTTCACTTTTATTTATCTATATGTTTGTATATGTCTATTGCTTTGGCAATATTGTGCTATTGTACACATTCATGCCAATAAAGCTAATTTGAATTGAATTATAGGTATATGCAGATATACGACGCTCTCCACACATTGTGTTCTGTTAAAGGAACAGAAACATACCACAAACATAACTTCGAGAAAGCTATAAGCAAATCATCGTTAAAAAAACTTAAAGCCGGACATACACTGTGCAATTTTCGTCCGTTTTTGAGCCAAATTCTGACTCGTATGACTTTTGAATCAGGGCAAATTTCAGCTTTGTTGTGCGTCGTTTGTCATGCAGTGTCAGGGGGAAACGAGAGGTGATTAACCTCTTCCGACCGGCAATAGGAGAATCGGATGAATTTCTGACATGTCAGAAATTTTGGTTGCCCCTCGTGAGGGTATGGTACAGTTGAAGCAGAGCTACGAACTGATTGCCCTGAACTCGTTTTTTCAGCACGAAAAAAGGAGTTAAACCATTTCATCTTTAATGCAGCAAGAAAGAAAACGAAAAGAGGGGGATCTTTAAGTTTTGTAGCTATCAAACAGCTGCAATTTAGCAAACTGTTGATTATCTCCAGTTCGCGTTGCAAAATGGATAAACCATATTACCCAAGTCTTGCAAGCCACCTGCGGGTCCATATATGGCAGCACCTCTTTTATTAATTTACTTGATCATTCATTTACTTGTTTCACTTTCACTTTATTTACTCATTTATTTAATATTTACTTAATTGTTTTACCACGGGAAATGTGAACCATTGTCCATCATTTTGCAATATTCAACATTTAGGACATTTTTAATTTGAGATCGGTGCGGCCCTGACATTCATCTGAGCAGATTTAATCACTCTTAACACACCTCACACCACAGGAAAATCTGATAAGACAAAATCGTCTGCAGCTTGAGAAACATACAGTATTTTGGAGCTATAAACGTTGACCATACTGTAGCTCTCCTTTGTACGTTCATGAGAAAAGCTTTGTTGGCTTGAGGACTTGAATAATCACCTCGATTTCCATTTTTCTCAATAAAACCATTTCTTATTAAAAAAAACATATTTCTACAGAAGATATATATAACTGCATGATATGCATTAAATACTTATGAGACATTTGCATTCTTTTTGAAGCTTGAAAGCGAGTCAGTACCCACCATCATTGTACGGACTTGAACATTTTTGAACATTTCTCCTTTCGCTATCCTCAGAAGACATACAGGTTTGAAATGACATGAGGGTGAGTAAACGATGACAGAATTTTGGGGTGAACAATACCTTTAAAGGGCCATGAAACAGTAAACTAGAGTTTCAAGAAAGTTATGCTCAATATTTTGGAGCTATAAAACATTTTAAAGCTGCAGTCCGTAATTTCTTTGGGTTAAAAATTATCCAAAATAAATTTTTGAGCAAGTACATAACCAGCCAATGTTCAAAACTATCTGCTTGCCTTAGCTCGATTCAAAGCGGTAAGCTTTTAAAATATGTTTTTAATTCCAGTGGTACTGGTGGATTTCCGCGGGAAATTCGAGCATGTCTTTGCGTCATTACGTCACATCTGTACACATAAAGAAGGAGTCTCGGCTAGTAGGCTATATTGCGTGTGAGGATGTTGGAGGTGGAGATTTATAGCCTTTTCTCACAGCACTTGATATAATTAAACTTATTAATTTGATGGCGGATCCAGAAAGGTTCAAACGACAATCACCAGTGATAACTGGAGATTCACCCGTTGTAAAATGCAAAAGACTTCGGAGTGGCTACAGAAAAAAAGAGACTGCAACCGGGCATGCGAAAAAAAAAAAAGAATATCGGAAGGGCATTAAATGTCCTTAAAGCAACACCATGTGATTTTTCCTCAGCGGTCGCCCTACAGGTTGGAAGCAGAATTGTCCATTACTGCTGTCGTAAATAATTTAGCCTTCCGCAGCCGACTGTCGCACGTGCACGCTCGCTGTTTATCCAGCACTGGCTTTGGAATCAACAATGGCAGACATCCCAACCTGCAAGAAGTCATTTCAGGGAGGTATATCTTGGTGAGTGAATTGTTGACGAGGGGGGGGGGGGGGGGGGGGGGGTGTGCGGCTGGTGGCGGGTTGACTAGCTTTCGTGAGGCACACTCGCAAGGTCTCTCGCTCTCTCTCTCTCTCTGCCGTGCTCGCGCTATGTATGTTATGCGCGCAGTATGTTCTGTCTCGCATGCGCGCTCTAGATTCCGGCAGATCTGAACTAATTTGCGGGCATCAGGGAGATGCGGGAGACTCCCGGGAGACTTGGGATGTCTGCAATGGCCACAGACAATTTGAGGAAGTGGTTGGGGGAAGTGACGTATGCCGTAAAGCAGTCGAATTTTGTAGTTCTTTTTGTGCACGGGTTCCTACCCGAAACCCGAAGTTACATAGTGCCAGTAAAAGCGATACAGACCACGTCAGGCTATGGCAGACGTGTCATTTAACTTATTTTAAGTCGATGTACCATCACAAGGGTCTTGGAAATATATTATGAAGGTTGAAAAACTACATAGTGTTACTTTAAATGGCATCAATCAACATTAACAATTTGAGAACAAAGTATAATTTGCACGGTTTAACGTGATATGATAAGAGATCGTTAATCAGCGCGATTTACTGCAATGCTTTTTTCCCTTAGTTGGTCAGAACAAAAGTGGATGTTACTTACTTGTTTCCTGTGAAAATTCTTATGTTGGCCATACTTCCAAAAAGTAGAAGTAGAATTCATTCAAAGTAGAATGATTCCAAATGCCAGTATCCACACCGGCGCGGTGACTGCAGCCGCACATTCTCCTCAAAACATTGGATTCATCCGCGCTGTGCCGTGCCGAGGCACAACTAACGTAAAGTTAATAATTCTGCGAATAACTGCAATTGCAGATTTCAAACAGAGATGGCGACAAAGAGGAAAAACTGCGGACTGCAGCTTTAAAGTGAGGCCATGTTATTATACAAACAGGGTGGAGATGTTGTCAAATAACTGCTAAAGCTAATGCTAGTTAACGCTAGGTTAAGAAGCTTACAACAAAAAATCAAAATTGACCCGATTTGCTTATTTAAAGATGCTGTGTGTCATTTTTTGTTGTTGTTGAAATGATGTATTCGGGGTGTTTGGGCACAGAAGGGGGCTTTTCTTACCAGACTTGGGGTTGCAGAGCACTGGAGGGCTGCTGCTGAGTGTGGGGCTGCTGCTATAGTAACCACTGCTGCCACAACTACTGCTCATACTGCTCCGCCGTACCGCTGACACCACCTTTATCTCTTTAGTGGGACTGACTAGGGGAAGGAGATAGAGAGAGACAAATTAGGTTAGCTAGAAACTGTATAAGAGGAAGTGAGAGAGCGAATAGAGATCAGTTAAAATACACACGCAACACTTCTGCCCGCTGAAAACACCATGATCCAACCATTTAGATGGCGTTATGGTGTCTAAACATCCTTTTTTTGCATTTACTAACTGAAAAAAAAAAAAAAAACAGCCCAGGGGAAACATCAGATCTGTTAAGAGTTCTCCTTTTGATGAAAATCATATGGCAACAGTATCATGGACACGTATATAACTGTTTAGCAAGCTAAATGAACATACCATAAACTTCTAGCTTTATACTGTATTGCTACAGCCAAACACAGACCCCAACATTAAAAGAAAACCTTCAAATTAATCAAATATTAAAAATGATTTACCACTTAAAAATGAAATGCAAAGAAATCAATATATTAATTCACAAGGATATATAAACAAATCACTTTTCAAATAGTCCTATTTCATAATGTTTATTTAATTTATGATTAATTTATTTTCATTTTTAAGCATTTTTAAACCTCAATCAAATAAACAGCTATTTATTTGTACATTTTAAAAAATGGACTCATTAATTAGATTTTATTTTTATAAAAGTAAATAAGAAAATCATTAACCCTGTTTTATTTTTAGAATAGTTCCACTCATATCATATTATACTGAGTAATATCACTGTGAAATTGATTATATTGTCAACAGAACAAAAATCACTGCTTATAGACCTTATGCACCAGAGAAACAAGGGCGCAGCCATCTTTAGAATATTGTCTTTGAACTTCCGTTTTTGCAGTAGCACTAATTATTTCTATGGCATCGCTATCGAGGAGTAATTAGCTGGTGAAGTGGATTTACTTTTATCAAAGGTTATCATGTGGATTGTAATGTTTAAAGCAGATGTCTTAACAAATGTCAGTAGACCGGGAAGATTTTAAAACGAGCCGTTCATTCATAAATACGCAAGATCACTGTGAAAATACAGACCGGAAGACAAAAGACAAGCGCTGAAAGGGGGCGGGGCTACATACGGTCTATACTGTAATTAAAATATACAATAAGTACAGAAAACAGTGTTGGGTAGCACTTTATTTTACAGTCCTGTTTCGTATGAACATACCATGTAATAACTAGATACTAACCCTAAACGTAAAACTAACCCCTGTAGTTACCTTACACTACTCAGTACTTTTGTGGGTAAGTACATTGAAAGTACACTTACTGTACTGTAAAATAATGTGCAACCCAGTGTTTGTGTAGTACTACACTGATGTCAAAACATTTAAATTCATGCACTTGTTAAGTCAAAATACACACTCCGCAGGCCCATTAAAAATGAGAGTTCATATTTTATTCAGCTCTGAGAAGAGGAACCAGTCCCAAGACAACCTGAGCTCATTTCCTTTACTGACTCATGAGTCATGACGGAGTGATACTGAATCTACAAGCAAATACTGAAAAAAAAACATGATCTGAAACAAGTTTACATTTACTGAAATACATTCAATGTGATAAATGCTAAATTGCAGCTTTATCTAGTAGTATAACACCGTGTGCTAAATTAAACTAAGCAAGCATCAAGAGAACAGAAGTAGTCTTAGGTTAAATGTATAATAATGACTAATACAAAATAACTCAAATGGAGTATAACTAGACCAAACAGAGGAAAACCAGGCAAAAGGGGCATGTTGTGCTTGTTTGACATGTTCACCTTTCACATACTCATCACAACAAAACATGATATGACAGATTCAGCTGACTAACTCTCCCAAAGAGGTCTGGAAACATCTGTGCAGATGAGAAACTACAACCTCCCCTATTTGAACATTCATTACTTTCAGTACACAAACTATGTGAACTTCCCCCTGAGAGCTCTAGTAGCTTACATAAGCACTGACAGAATGTGAGAACCTCTAAACATCATACTGTCAATCAAAATGGACTGCTGTGGACTGTGGATGTAATGTCTATTCAATTCTGTACTCACCTGTCACAGTAATGCAATGTCAATGAATTCTCTTTATTCAGGGGTCTTTGTCAGCCAATACTGATATATATGCAATTCATTGTAATTTATTCGCTTGTTTATTTGACTTGCATATCATGTAATAAATCTGATTATTAAAAATTTATTATATATTGAATATTATTTAAAAAAAATCAAAATAAATGAACACCTTTCAGCTGATTAGATGTTTGTACACAAATATGACACTTCAAATTAAAAGCAATGTTTTCCAGATGATGCACTCTTTCAAAACACGAGTTAGTCGTTTCAGCAACTTCCTTACTACACCATTGAAATAACTAACTTTATTATGCACTGCATCAACAGCTAATTAAAATGCATGAGACCACATCCAAAAGTTCATTATCTATGTGCCACTGCAAATGATCACAGTTGTGTCCACTAAACCTAAAAATCAATATAATAAACACCAGTGTGCATGCATTCTGTGGATTTCCTTTATGATCATGGACTAACCTGAAAGGAAGCTGGTGTTTCCCCCCTCAGAGCCCTGTTTGCGCAGACAGAAAGGGCTGTCCTGGTTCTCCGGTATGCTGCGACAACGCTCGTTCAAAAGCTCCATCAGTCGCCGTCGCCGCCGGAAATTCATTCTGAATTGGTAAAGCAGTCCGCCATCCACAAAGTGGTGCTTGTTAGAAACTGGGGGAAAGAAAGAGAAATGCATAGAGAAAGAAGGTCATATGTCAGTTTATTGGAATTAAAGTCATGAACTCTTAAGCCACAATGGTCTAAAACCTAGAAGTGAAAGACAGAAAATACAAAACTCAACCCAATATCCTTATTTTGGATTGTACTTTCAAGGCTTTTGTTTTATTAATTTATTAAATGTAAAATAATATTCATGTTTTATTTATTCATTTAATTTTTGTTTATTTTACCAAGAGAAGGGGGCAGAGCAGAGGTTGGCAAAACAGCAGAAAAAGCTGAAGTCCCTTCTTAAGAGTTCTTATTTTTCTCATTTGCTAGAAGCAGGAGAACCAGTTTAACCAAGTCTAGAGAGTGAGCGAGTGTGTTTGTGTAAGAGGAGCACATGCCATCTTACAATCTCATCCCATAATCCTACGGAGGAGTCACAGAGCAATCCTGAACTCCCTTCTTGCATAATATCCCATGAGTCATCATGTTTCAAAAACAGTATTTAGTTTTACATAACAGCATTAACTTTCCCTTTTTATTACCATGTTCAGTGCTCTACTGTGTTATTATTCTGCCATGTCCCTAATCACAGGACCGTTACTTTAGTTTCAGCAATATTTCAAAGACATGCGGCAGGAGAAGTTCAATATGACATTCCTCCTTCCACCACTACAAATAATGTGCTCACTGTGTGTGCGCATTTCATTTGCTATCAACACATACAATAAAATAGTCTTTCTTAAAAACTGGAAACCTTTGAAACAAGCAAAATCAAACATATATGGACAGTGAAGCATAGTGGATGCATGTGGTGTGTGGTGCAGAGGAATGCAGATGTGTGTGGGAGAGAGCTGAGCTAAACACTCGCTCATTGTCTGACTATCACTGCATGGTTAGTCTCGTAGAACAAGTCTTTTGCCTTTCCGCAAACAGTCTGGTCGATTTTGCTGCTTATTCTGGCCAAGAAATACCCAATTAGACAAGAAGGGACCACGTGACAGACGTATAAAGTGGCCTTGATTATTTTATTCATTATTTATTTTGAATTTTGTGAGCAAACAAGCAGTGGTATATTATCTTAAAGAATAAAAAATGTATGCGAGGAGCCAATGAGATCGCTGCTCAACCTTCAAATACTTGGTCAGCATTTGCTGTAGCAGTTGCAGTGCACTTTCAGAAACCCTCCACCTTCCCCAGCTCAACCTGTATAGATCTGCTACAAGTAATTCATGTGCGCTATATTGCACAGCAGCAGCATGTCTTACTTGCTCACAGCAGTGTATGTATTGGCAATAGCAATTCCCGTTCTTGCTCTGCAGCAAAAGCAGCAATAACCAAAAGCAGCAGCAGCGTCAATAACAGCAGCAGCGTCAATAACTGCAGCAGCGTCAATAACTGCAGCATCAGCAATAACCAACACCAGCAGCAGCATCAATAGCAGCAGCATCAGCAATAACCAACACCAGCAGCAGCATCAATAACGGCAGCATCAGCAATAACCAACACCAGCAGCAGCATCAATAGCAGCAGCATCAGCAATAACCAACACCAGCAGCAGCATCAATAACGGCAGCATCAGCAATAACAGCAGCATCAGCAATAACCAACACCAGCAGCAGCATCAATAACAGCAGCATCAGCAATAACCAACAGAAGCAGCAGCGTCAATAACAGCAGCATCAGCAATAACCAACACCAGCAGCAGCATCAATAACAGCAGCATCAGCAATAACCAACACCAGCAGCAGCATCAATAACCGCAGCATCAGCAATAACCAACACCAGCAGCAGCATCAATAACAGCAGCATCAGCAATAACCAACACCAGCAGCAGCATCAATAACAGCAGCATCAGCAATAACCAACAGAAGCAGCAGCGTCAATAACAGCAGCATCAGCAATAACCAACAGCAGCAGCAGTGTCAATAACAGCAGCAGCGTCAATAACTGCAGCACCGTCAATAACTGCAGCATCAGCAATAACCAACACCAGCAGCAGCATCAATAACAGCAGCATCAGCAATAACCAACACCAGCAGCAGCATCAATAACGGCAGCATCAGCAATAACGGCAGCATCAGCAATAACCAAAACCAGCAGCAGCATCAATAACTGCAGCATCAGCAATAACCAACACCAGCAGCAGTGTAGCAGATCTATTCCGCAAAGGCCAAACATATCAACATTGCCATATCCATTACCATGCCAAACACTCTTGAGAGTTGTCATGACAGAAATATATGTATGTGGTCAGAGTGGCATCTAGTCTATGGGCAATGAGAGATAAACTGTATTATTATATGAAAGTTCATATATATATTATAATCTTATATGGATCTTATAATCCATTAAGGGCTCTTATATCTCAAAGCAAGATTGGGTTTTGTTTTTTTAAATGTATGTTAAATGCTTCAAATGTAGTTTCATTTAAAAAAAGATGTATATAGGCAAAAAGATGGGGGATATTAACCAAGATTAAATCTGATGTCTAATATAAATATATGCCAAAGCGGTATCTTAAGCCATGTTCAGACTGTCAGTCCAAATCTGATTTTTTTTGCATATCCGATTGGCTTCCAATCAAATTTAGCAAGTGTGAAAAAAAAATTAAGTTTCTAACTACATTTATGTGATTTGAAATCCTATTCAAATTTGACTCCAGTTTCAAACGCATTCAATTTTACTTCAGTTTTAAATGCAGTTTCCGCTTTGATCAGATTTTGTGTAGCTTTTCACTTTCTCACGCCACATCAAACGTATAAATGTCAGACGTCGCTGCAGGAACAAGGTTGTGTTGTGTTGTTGTCACACACACCTTTTTGAATTTTGAGAATTTACCACAACAGCATGGAATAAAGCCACGCATGCCAACCTCCTACGTTTCTGCCACTGCTTCATTAGGTGTAGTAGTCCAGCGCCGCAGCTACACATTGTAATATTGTAGCTGTAATATAGCCTACTCTGCAACCCCCTCATAGAGCTATAAACACAATGTCATTGCCATAGAAACTGGAAAACAAAGATAACAAAGGTGTATACTCAATCTTCAGTATCGTGTTACCAGTGCTGATGCAGTTTTATGCGGTATTTGATCTTGAAATTAGTTGATGATAAATAAAACGCATCTCAGATCTGTCGCTTTCGATGACGTGAACTCCATTGAATTTGTACATAGCACGGGAATTGAAGATTGGGTTTATCTTTGTTTTGCAGAGACACATTTGTGTGGCCAAGTGTAAATGGAACCGTTTTAACAAATCGGACAGCTGTTTGATCAGCAAAAATGCATGAAATAACCAGATGTAAATTAAGACACCACAAATGTAGTGGCAAATATAAGTGAAGAAGAACTGCAAAAACACTGATGAAATGTGTTTAAAAAAACTGATCTTTTCAGTAGAAATTCTATCCAAAATAAATAAATAATGATTGTTTCATGGACATAACTCAAAAATAGTATCATGTAGCTTCTTTAGCACAAAAAAGGGGGAAAAAGTGTTGTGACAGACAGTCACCTCTCTGAACTAAACTCTCCGCTTACTGTGTCTTTAAGGCCTCATGAACAAAAGTCACAGATATGTAGCCGACTGCCGAGCACATGCAGTCACATTCAAACCACAAGCAAAAGCTGGAAAAGCAGAGAACGTGCTTTCTGGTTCTGGAGAACACTGCCGTCTCCACCCTGATGAGGGGTATTCATATGCTGGTGTGTGTAGCATGATCGTACAACTGTGCAGTGCAACTTTGACTGGCCGTGAAACAGTGACAACAGATTTACACACACTTCTCGACACAGTGCAGTGCCGCAATTTCAGGGGGCCTCGCTGTTGACAGTTAAAGGCTGAAAGCCTGCTTCCCCCTTTCAGCTTCACCCTTTTCCTTGCCCTACTGCCATGGACAAAATTAGATGAATTCACCTCTATTTTTTTTCCACAGATCTGTTGGTTTAAAACAGGAGATATCCTGAGATGCCCTGTTATGATCTGCTTATGTGTGTTGCTGTGTTGCTGTATCCAAATGTGTTAGCTAAATTCAAGTCAGGGCACAAACCTTTGTTCAGCTATGGTCTGGTTTTTGCTTTAAGTAATAGCTGTATGCATATGAACATAATATAGACACACTGATTCATTTAAGTGCAATGACTAAAACACATCCCAAAAGGCTTAACTTAATTTCTCTGTAATTTAAGGTCATTCACATTTTTATTCCAAGTCACCAGAAATCAGACAGGAAAGGTGCTGTCAAACGAAGACACTGTATCAGACTCAACAGGGCACTGGTTGTGCTGCCGCGCATGTGACTGTTGGTGTGTGTGACTGAACTATAGGGTATAGCTCCATTCTATAGGAGTCACTATGTGTGTGTGTGTGAGTGCAGGTCTGCATTGGGTGTGTGTATACAGCTGTGTATTATGCATGTGAATCCTTTTGTGTAGATGAGTTCTAGTGTGTCACTGTGTTTGCCTGTTGCCTGGTCAAAGGTATGCCCATCTGTTGCTGACCATCAAAGTCTTTCCTCGTGTCAAGTCATGACTCAACAAGCCCCCTTGTATTATTTAATAGCTTGCATAACTTGAATGCATGTATATTTTAAAAAGCACAATGATTAGCGAATTCCTGAAGCTCTAGGAGTTACTTAGTGATATATGTTCTAAAGTGAACCATGAAAATGCATTTCAACAAAACAATTGTCAGATAAATGTGTAGTATTAAGTTCATGCAGCAAACCATCAACTTAAATTTGGATTTATTCAATGTATTTTGTCTTGTTGTTCTCTACGTCAGAACAATGTCAATCTACTAGGTCCATGACTTAATGAGAGTTTGAATAAGTGTATTTTAGTCCTTCAAACGTTTATACCATTACAAGAAAAGTTTACATATAAATGTAACACAAAAATGTAGTTTATCCATAAAATAAAAAGTCATAACATATTTTCATTACACCTTGGACACAAGTGAGTGTATCTTAATCATTATTTTCAAATAACTGAACCTGAATTGAGCTATTACTAATAAATTGAGCAATATCTGTGAATGTCATTCACAAATGTTTCTAGACAACCAGAAGTGGAGGGACGCCCACTAGTGACCTCACCACCAGCCACTGGCGAGAAAGTCGCTGGTTGTGTGAACGCAGCTTTAAGGTGTATGCTGCAGGACTATATTTTACATATATATTTCATCCATGTGCTCACCATGCTGAATGATGGCATGCTCCAGCAGTCTGCGTCCCAACCGCTCGGCTTCCTCCCTGGTGGGCATTTCACCTTCCTGCAGGAGCCAGTCTATGAACTCTGAGGCCACCAGTGTCCGCTCATACGTCACACCCTCCTCTTCACGCGTTTGCAGCAGGGTGCAGTTTTCAGTGTTCATCAACCTGTGTAGCGAGACAGTGTACTAGCATGTCAAAATATCAAACTCATTGCGTATATAATTATGAGATCATTCACCTCAAAACAGCCTGGTTCGAGAAGCGATTTTCATCAAATCAAGGTCAAAGTTCAGCAGTGCTGCTAAATATGTATGTCAACAAAAGAAGAGCAACAGAACTGTCAAGAAATGCAACATTCTCTGCCATTTAAAGGCAGGTCCTGACGGGTAAAAATCAAACACTTTCATGTTTGCCACAAAGACTCGATGTTGTCAGCACACAACTAAAGATTGCCTTGAGAGATACAAGTCTTCAGAGAAAATGTGAGTTTCTAAGAAACAACTGAAGAAAAACAAAAACTTTCGCTGACTATCACACCACGTCAGGACCATTTGAGAACTGATCATTTATGATGGAAGCATATGCACAGTAGATATTACAAATGCAGGCCATTCGGGTCAAAATCGTCAAGAAAAAGAGTATGATGCAGCTGAAACAGCTTGAGCAAACATCCACATGTGCCAAACAAGGGCACAAATGACTCACTATCAGTCACCATGCAGTGCCAGCAATGTGAGCCTGCGTAGTAGATGTTTGCCATGTACATACTGAGTCTATTCCTGTGCCTTTCAAGGCAAACAGCGATTTCAAACCGCTTGCAGTTGAGCAACCATATATTAATGACTGACTTTTGCAAGAAATTATATGTGGCATTAACCTAGTTTTGAGCCCCTTACCGTTTTTTTGATAATCATTCTTTCATATCTAGCTATCCTGTTAGCAGGTCACACTTTTAACCATATCCTGAATGCTCTGCTTATATTAAAACCACAGATCTCGTTGCATGGTATGTTTGTGACAGAGATGTTTTGTTTCTTTGTCTAAATATTGCTTAGTGTTGCAGTGTCTCAAGTCATGAGAAACAATGTCAGAGCTCAACAATAAGGGTGGCCTGATGGTCCGGTCCCAGTGTGAGAGAGTTCTGGACCAGCTGATGGAACTGCCATTTGCCCTATAAGGAAGACAATGTTTGAACTGTTGTTTTGCGAAATCTGTTTCACACAAAAAAATATATAATTTTTATTCAGCAGGAATTCATTAAATTGATCGAAAGTGACAAAGAAATTTATATATGTTACAAAATATTTCTATTTCAAATAAATACCTTTTTTTAAACTTTCTATTAAAGGGTTAATTTTGTCATAATTTACTCACCCTCATGTCATTTCAAACCCGTAAGACGTGTTCATCTTCAGAACACAAATGAAGATCTTTTTAATGAAATCTGAGAGCTTTCTGTCCCTCCATTGACAGCCTACGCAACTACGCAAAAAGTAATCCATGCGACTCCAGCGGTTTAACCTCAATTTTAAAAAGCGACGCGAGAGCTTTGTTTGCGCAAAAAACATAATTTACCACTTTATTTACAAAATATTAATCTCTGACGAGCGTTCACGCAACAACGCCTGCTCTCGTGTCAACACAACATGTATGCTTCGTGGTGCTCTAGTGAGCATGCGTTTGAGATTCATATTTTGTAAATAAAGTGGTAAATTATGTTTTTTGCTCAAACAAAGCACTCGCGTCGCTTTATAAAATTGAGGTTAAAACAATGGAGTCACATGAATTATGTGTTTACTACCTTTCTGGGGCTTGAAAGTGGTACCGGTAGTTGAGTAGACTGTCAATGGAGGGACAGAAAGCTCTCAGATTTCATCAAAAAGATCTTCATTTGTGTTCCGAAGATGAACGAATGTCTTACGGGTTTGGAATGACATGAGGGTGAGTAATTAATGACAGAATTTTCATTTTTGGGTGAACTATCCCTTTAATCAAAGAATCTAGAAATAATGTATTATGGTTCAAAAATATAAATCCAGGATCAGGATATTAGATATTAGAATAATTTCTTATGGATCATGTGAAACTTATGTTCCCTTTCGTAGTCACTCCGAGTTACGTCGGATGACGGAGAATGGGGGTTTCGCCAGAAAGCCAATCCTCTTCGAGTATTAAAAAACGAGCCAATGGCAATGAAATGCCATGGGTCTGCGGAATTTGCATAATGTATCTCCGCCTCACCGCGTGAGTATTTAAGGAGAGACACCTGCAACAGCAGATCATGTTTTCGCTTCGGAGCCAAGAGAACCTCTTCACTCCACAGCCACAACTGAGTTTACAAATGACTCACCTCTTCGAGACGAGCGAACTCTCCAGTGTTGGTGTGACGGCGGTATCCAGCGAGTCTTCACATTGCCTGCGATCTGTGCAGTGGTCTGCCTGACTTTGTGTTTTCTCCCTGGTCGCCTCAGCATTGCAGAGTTTTTCCTCTCCTAAAAGAGCTGCACGTGGCACGTCTTTTTAAAGATGTCTCGCCCGTGTTCTTCTGGTTGCGGTCGATATTTGTCGTCTTCTGATGGGCACGAGCGCTGCTTTGTGTGTCTGGGCTTTGAACACGCTAAAGCAGCGCTCGTGGATGACTCATGTTCCTTCTGTGGGAACATGGCCATCGCAACACTAAGATTAAGACTCAATGATCTTTCAGTGAGAGTCCCCGCGTCCACCACCCGTTCTGCTTCCTCCACGAGAGGTGGTAGTTCGGCTGGGGGACAGGGTGATCTGAGGGTGACGGTGTGGAGCAATCCGACGATGCGTCCTCGGACCACGCCCCCCTCCGCTGTGTTGCAACCCGCGAATGCCGCGGTGATTCAGGCGGGCTCTTCTTCGGAAGCCCCGCGTGTTTCATTCGGCGCTCCAGAGGATGACGCGATGTCGATCGCGGCATCACAAGGTGGGCTTGAGTCTTCAGGAAGTGAGGATGCGGCTGCGTTGCCTCCTTCGGGAGTCCCAGCGTTGCCTGTGTCGGATCCTGAGATGACAGCCATGCTGTCCCGGGCAGCCGTGAGCATCGGGCTAGAGTGGAACCCTCCGCCCTGCCCCGAGCGCTCGCGGCTGGACGATTGGTTTTTGGGTGCGGCTGCCGCCTCACGGCCTCAGCCAACCCCAATTCCTTTCTTCCCGGAGCTGCATGAGGAGCTGTCGAGATCATGGAAGGCTCCTTTGACCTCCCGTGAACGCTCGTCAGCTTTCTCCGCCTTTCCTCCCCTCGATGGCGCAGCTGCCCATGGGTACACTGGGATTCCCCCGGTGGAGCGCTCTGTTGCGATGCAACTGTGTCCTCAGAGCGCATCCTCTCGTGGTAATCCTAAGCACCCGTCCAAGGCCTGTAGATTCTCGTCATCAATGGTGGCGAGGTCTCACAGAGCTGCAGGACAGGCGGCTGCTGCCCTGCATGCGATGAGCACCTTGCAGGTCTACCAGGCCCAGCTGCTCAGAAACATGCACGAGGGCGGGACTGACCCAGGGACGTTCGACGAACTGCGTGCCGCCACTGACCTCGCTCTCCGGGCGACGAAAGTGGCCTCACGCTCCCTGGGTCAGGTGATGGCCACTAATGTGGTCCAGGAGCGTCACCTATGGCTGAACCTGGCCGATATGCGGGACGTTGAGCGGACTCGTCTGCTCGATGCTCCCATATCCCAGGCCGGCCTCTTCGGCGGAGCGGTTGAAGACTTCGCCCAGCAGTTTTCGACCGCACAGAAGCAGTCTGAGGCGATAAAACACATTCTGCCCCGACGGCCAGCTGCTGCCTCCACCCAGCCGTCGGCACAGATGCCTCAGCCTGCTCGCCGCCGAGGGCGCCCTCCCGCGGCTCCCGCCCCTCCCGCACGGCCCCAGCAGCAGCCTTCACCCGGGCCGCGTCGTGGAGGAAGCCGCAGGAAAGCGTCCCAGCCCCCTCAGGCCCCGCGCCCCGCTAAACGCCAGGCCAAGCGGCGCTCCTGAGACGGGCTGCTCAGTGATGGTGTCGGTTTTTTCACAGGAGGCGGTTGCAGGCCCCCTCCTTCCCCCGGTGGAGGGCCGGGGGAGAATCTTTTGTTCTCCACTCCCCGCTGCTCACCCACGGGTGGGCAGGACCCTAATGTGGTTAAAGAAAGAACCGAAATGTCCATCACTGAGCACACAGAGCCGGATGACAGTGCGCGACGCCCCCGTGCCTCGCCACTCTCGTCCTCCTCTGTCTCTGAGGGCGAGGATGACAGTGCGTGCCGTCCCCGGACCACACCACTCTCATCCCCCTCTATCGCCAGACCCCTGGCAGAGCAGACCCCCGTGGAACGCTGGTCCTTCCCTGGTCTCCTCTGTCAGGGCGCGGAGCTTGGCTGTGCACACGCTCAGGGCCGCTATGCCACCCTTGCCTGTGCCGGTCACTCCGCCTCGCTGCCCCTCCGGGGGGACGCCTGTGGCTCGGATGATTCCGCTGGATCAGTTTTTGGGGGCTTGGTTAGAGCTCCCCAATCTGTCCCGTTGGGTCGCCCGAGCTATCAGGCTCGGCTATGCGATTCAGTTCGCACGGTCTCCTCCCCGCTTCAGGGGAGTCCGCTTTACTATGGTCGGTGGCAATGCCCCGATCATGAGAGCGGAGGTTGCTACCCTGCTGGCGAAGGGTGCAATCGAGGCTGTCCCTCCAGCCGAGATGAGGTCAGGGTTCTACAGCCCCTACTTCATTGTCCCCAAGAAAACCGGTGGGTTACGGCCAATCCTGGACTTGCGCGTCCTGAACCGCTCCCTTCACAGGCTGCCGTTCAGGATGCTTATGGCCAAACGCATTTTCGAATGCGTGCGGCCACAGGATTGGTTTGCAGCGATAGACCTGAAGGACGCCTACTTTCATGTCTCCATTTTACCTCGACACAGACCGTTTCTTCGGTTTGCTTTCGAGGGGCAGGCATACCAGTACGCGGTTCTCCCATTCGGGTTGGCTCTGTCTCCTCGCGTCTTTACGAAGGTCGTCGAGGCAGCCCTTGTTCCCCTACGCGAACACGGGGTTCGCATCCTGAATTATCTCGACGACTGGCTAATATTAGCTCACTCTCGAGATCAGGTTTGCGAACACAGAGACCTTGTGCTCCGGCACCTAGCCCGTCTGGGCCTTCGGGTCAACTGGG